CGCAGCCCTAGACGAGGCTGGTGTGCGAGTGGGCCGCGCTTAGCCAGTGAGAAGCTGCAGTGGGAGATGGGGATGTTAAATTGTGATATTCAAATCCTGTCTAAGCTTAAAGACAAATATGAGACAACCATAAAACTGCGAAAATTTCAGTCTGTTCGAGGGTCCTAGGATCGCACTGTGGCCTGGTGAAGTTTCCTAAATGCCGGCTCTGCCAGAGGAGGTGTTCCTTCAGCATCAGCCAACATTTGCACTCCCTCCTGTGCTTACGGAGAGGGACTCCGAGTGAGAACCACCTGCCAGGCTGTGTGGGGAAAGCCCTCAGAGCGTGGGTCCAGCACCAGCACGCGAGCTGCCCTCAGCAAAGAGCTGGGCTGGGGTTTCCACAACCGCACGTCAGCAACCACCCACCCGCGGTCGGGCTGCGGGAGCCGTGCCCCGATCCTAACGGGGAGTCAGTGCTCTCCACGTGCACAGGATCGCCCCAGGATTGTGGCAAACTGCGCAGCTGGGGGTTCAGGGGACACAGGCATGGCCGACCAGGACCGCTGCTGTTCTGTGCAATGAGCCGTTGGACAATGGGTCTTCAAGAAGTCCATGTAAAATGCATATTTTGAAAATGCTATGTATGGATTTCAATTTTTTTTGCACCAAACAAATTTTATTTGTATTTTTTTTTAAGGTTTTTGCCATAGGGCTCATGTGCTTACTAGAGAGACAAAGGAAGACAGTGATGGGGAAGCTGAGAAATCACCCCTGGGGGATGGCCATGCTGCAAGCCCACCTCCTCTGGGATTTTGGGCATGCACGCACGATTTTAGGTGGGGCTATAAACCACCAAGTCCAGGACGTAAACAGCTTAGACCATGTGGGAGTCCAGCAACATAACCACTACACTGCCTGCTGGCCCCGACAAACTTTAATTCCAGTTTCCTTCAACCTTTGTGAAGTCCTCTTACTTGACAGAAGTACAAGACTTCAGCTCACCCCAGGCGTTCTCGCCCTGCAGTCCACAGACACACGCTGGATGCGTTTGTCTCCCCTGGCGCCTTGGGCACTAAATTTATGTATTTTAAACATCATGATGGCTCTGTCAGACTCCAGGGT